CCCCACAAACTCTTTGAAGCCCCTCGTGTATATATATCAAGTGAATAAAAACATCCACATAGAACCTTGTGCACAAATATTCTTCAACTGATTAATGGATTGGCAAGATGGTGTATGTTCCTGTACGAGAATATTAGGCCTCAAAAGGAGTCGAGCACCAATACATGCTACACTCTAATGAGACATGAAAAGATGTGAATGAAAGAAACCAGTTACAAAAGCTCAGATTGTAAGATTTCTTTATATGAAATATCCACCAGAGGCCAATTTCTAGAGATGAAAGGTCAATTCGTGGTTGCCAAGGACTGAGGAAGGAAGAGTAATGGGTACCGAGTTGCTTGTTTTAGGTAATGGAAGTTCTGGAATTCGATAATGGTGATGGCAGCTCAACTCTGAATACACAAAAAACTACTGAGTTGGACACTTTAAAATGGTGTTTCTTAGGTTACATGAATTCTAAAGCTGTGACAAGGTCAAACGAGGTCACTCCTTATTTAGGCCAGCTTCAAACATCAGTGGATTCCCACCACATGTGAAATAAACTCGTTGTCATGCCCTGTCACAGTCTGCCCCTGCCTTCCTCACCTTCCCACCTTGCTCCTCTGCTTCAGCCACTCTAGCCTCTGGACTGTTTGGCCAGTGCCACTGTCGTTTGGAATATTCTGCTAATTCAATTGGTTGTCCTGGCTAAACTATTTCTTCAAGCACCTGCATATTGCCTCTTACTTTCTCCTTCACGAGAATATGTTCCATGAGGGCAGGGCTGTGGTCTTTCTACTATATCCACAACATAACCCTCAGGTTCTGGTTCATGATACCTGCTCAATAAGTACTTGTTGAATTAATGAAAAACTCCATTGTTTAGTTAAAAATAAAGAGTTTGTAAGTAGTCATTACTTGGCCTCTGATACAATATGCCTGAAAAATTAAATCCCAAGAGAAGATGTATTTTTCACGTTCGTTGTGAGTGTTGATTCTTTTATTTTGGTTTATGATTATTATTACTGTGTTGCTTTGCTTTCACATCACAAAGAGGATAGAAGTAATTCCACCAACTGAAAAAATAGCCACACACATAGAATCTCCCGAAGTAGCCAGCTTTGATTAGAGTAGCACATAAAGACGTATTTTGATGTGAATGATTTTTTTAAAAAACTACATAACTAATTAAAGCCTTTTGACTTCACTTGTGATTTTTGTTTGTACCGTGACTGACGTAATTGTTTTTTTTCTCTTTTTAGGGGCATTGGACAGGTTGTTACTGACTATGTCCACGGGGATGTTTCCCAGAAAGCTGCCAAGGCAGGCCTGTTGGTACTCTCAGCCGTGACCTTTGCTGGTCTTTGTTATTTCAACTACCACGACGTCGGTATCTGCAAAGCTGTGGCCATGCTATGGAAGCTCTGACTTTTTTACTTCATACCCTGAAAATTGATTGTATACCTCTTTGCCTCTGCTCCGTTATGCCATTCGCCTGTCAATAAGAGGAAATAACAGATATGTCCAAAGATTAAACCTGCAGAGAACCATATGACTAGGAAAAAGTGTGAGAAGAATTGTATTCATGAGGTAGACTGAGTTCCATTTTCTTGTGAGATGATAATGGAATTAGCTCCTAACTACTCCCCAATCCCACAGTATAACAAAAGGTATATGAGCCCTTGACTTTTAATTAGATAGTCTCTAAGCGAGAATTCAGTTTGTTATTGTCAGCACGTTATGATTAAAGCTCTTCTGTTTGTTCAGGGAATGATAGAAATTGGGCAGGACTGCTAACTCTTAAAGATTTAACAGAAAATTAAACTATGCTTAATTGTTGAAAATTCTGCTCTCTGTTCTGTTGAAACCTTTAACTGATGCCCTAGGGTAAGTTTAAAGTTAGAGAATTTTGGTAATCTCACATTATTAATTTCTCAATCCCAAGAGTAAGGATGTGGGGAAATTTTGAATATAGAGAAGTTCCATTGAGAGAAGAGGTTGCCTTGTAGAGGTATTAAATTCTTATTGAGTCCAAACTGAATGTTAACCTGTAAATATTATTTGCTGATCTCTCAACAAACTGCTGTTTTCTTACTTTGGGCATGTCTTATGGAAACATATATTCGATGAGAACCGAAAACTTACATGCTCGCTAATTAAAGTATATTCTAGTCTTGTATGTATTTCCTGTCCTTAGTTTTAAGATCCTTGAGTTGAGTGAACAGTGCCCTTGAGTATTAACTGAAAGCTCCATGGTTGGAAACCACCCAGCGGCAAAGCAGAAGAAACTCCTGGCCGTCGAACTCAGAAACCTGTTGGGAACCAGTTCTGTTCTTCCACAGCACGTGGCTCGCTGTGAGTGCGGACCAACTCACGGGCAGTGGGTCTCGTTTGGTTTGGGTTTCTAGTTTATTCCTTAGAACTGAATGGTGACTGCAGCCACAGCATTTTGGGTAACACTGACATAGGATTAAAGGTTCAGATTTCCTTCCGGGGCTTACCAGTTGTGATGGGCACCAGTGCCATACTACAGAATAGATTTATGTGTAGCGGGCAGAAAGACACCAAGAATAAGTACTTGGTGTGAAACGAATGCTGAGATGAAGCAGGGGCCTCTGGTGGCACAGCAGTTGAGTGCTGGACTATGACAAAGTCGGCAGTTGAGTGCCTGGTGCCTTGCAGGACAATCCTGGTAATCGGCTTCCAAAGGTCACAGCCTTGTGAAAATCTTAGGGGATCGCCATGAGCCCCAGTCCAAAGTTACTGAGCAGCAACTCGCAATGTAAATCTGATGTCCTGTCAGTATCAGTGTTTCGAGTTCAGAGTATGTTCTGGAGGCATCTAGTGTAGTCTTCAGTCTACTGTAAGGCTAGCAGTAGCTCATGGGAGGGGAGGCACAGGCACTGACTGGGCAGCTAAGACTGAAAGGTAGCCAGCTCGAAGGATGTGGACTCCGAAGGGCAAGTCTGTATAGGAACATCGTATTGGGGTTAACGATCAGCTTCTCAACGTGCTTGATCTCAGGAGATTCAGATGTTTCTACCTTAATGAAATGCAAAAATTTCCTTGATACCTAAAGCATATTGTGATTTGGGTTTCAGAAGAGGGGACGGCATCAGCCTGAATAGCAGTAACATGGTGTGCACTGGCTTGTATTGAGCAAGACACTGGCTTCATTGTGTGGACTTGCTCATCTGTGGGGAGCCATGTCACCTGGGATTCTCCAGTGGATGTGGGCGACAGGTAAAATTGTGTTCTGCAGGTTGATGTGAAGGACATGCGCATGCCTTGCTTTTGAATAATCGCCCTGGGTGAAGAGACCCGCCCACATAGGAGGTAGGATTGGAACTGCTGATACAGATGGATGATAAAAAACTGATCCACCTTTAGTTTTATTACTGCTTTTTAAATTTTCCATAGACACTGCACCCCCTTCATGTTCCCACTTGCTGCCCACCCTTCTGTGTGACGGAGTGACGGAATGCGTTTTCCATAGTGTCAAAGTGCAATGGGCAGTGGCTCTGGATAATTTGGGAGTTATGTAGCTGTCTCCGATACCATCTGATCCTAGCTTGGGCCTGAAAGGGTGTTCACTGCTAAAAGCTTTAGTGAATTGAGAGGTGGGCATGGAGGCTGGTCAGGTACTGCCTGTGGTAGGTCCCTGGTTGCTTTGGTGATTAAGCGATGGCACTGAGCTGCCACTAACAGACACTGAGGTACTGGAGCAGCAGGAAACAGGCTGGGGCCAACAGCAACAGGCTCTTGAAGTGGTACAGGGCATGGCATTAGGAAGGTCATCGGTCCCTGGGTGGACCAAATGGTTTGTGTTCATCTACTAACCAATAGGTGGTAGACCAAACCTGATAAAGATTACAATCAAGAAAACCACAGGGAGCCATATCCACAAGCAGTCAACTCAATGGCAAGGATTTAGGAAAGAGGAATGTTGACAAAGCTAGAGATCAAAGAAGTCCCCAGGGGAGGAGGCTGAACCTTGGCAGTGTCGGTGGAAAGTGGGAGTCAAGTTCAAAAGGTTTTGTCCAAGTTAACACAATAAATTTCAAGTGCCTTTTGCCAAGTATGTGCCAAGGATAAAGAGATGTGTTTTTCTCCGCCCTTAAATTCATAGTCTAACTATGGTCACATAAATGATTGCAAGGTAGCATGATAAGTGCCGTGATAGTTACGTGCATAGTACACAGTGAGGTATCAGGCAAAGAAGTTGCCTGCAAGTTTCCTGGCAGAGGAGTCTTGACCCCGGTTCTGAAAGATAAGCAGTGAACAGGTGGCTGAGGAAGCTGCGGGGAGACTGGGGCTGATTGGAGGATGGTCTATGGAGCAGAAACGTGTGTGGTTGGGTTACGACTGCAGCACAGGGAGCCATGTTCATAGAGGGCCTTCTATGCTATGGTAAATCATTGATGCCTTATCTCAATGGCAATGAGGAGACATTGCTAAGCAGGTCAATGACATGGTCAGGTTCATATTTTGCGTAGGTTGTGCTGGCAGCGCTGTGAAGTACAGATGTGAGGAAGCATGAAAATAGGTAGATTATTTTCATGATCCATAAAACTGCTGGCTCCTAATGGCAGGAGCAGCTGGAGTGGAGGAGAGAACCCATTTAAGAGCCATTTAACACCTGGAAACCATAGCAATTATACTGCCTTGTGAAAGACTAAGAGGGAGTCATAGGCACAGGTTTTGGTCTTGTGACTAAGTGGATGGAAGGTGGTATCAGTAATTGGAGTAATGAGAATTTCTGAAGGAAAAGTCCATGGATGGCAGCAGTGAGATAAACAGGCAAAGAATCTTTTGTAGACTTCCTGACAACGTGGCAGACTAAATGAAGACACACGTATATACTTCATGATGAAAGACCTAAGAGCATTAGGCAGACAACAAGAACGTGCTTTCAGATGGATGACTGAGCTTGCAAAAAGAAACGAGTCAGAAAAAAGTCAACATGCATTTAGAAGGGCGAACAAATGCTGAGGACAGCCATTGATCTACTAATGCCAAACGGCCTAGGGTGATCGTTGTAAGGAGAGGCTGCCCAGGGGAGAGGAGTACAGCGTAGGGCCCAAATGGAGTCAGAAGGACTCCTGCAGTTTCATGGCTTTGTAAGCCCTCGTCCAGGTCGCTGTGCGTTGGAATTGATCTAATGGCAGTGCTCTGGTTTCTCGGTTTGAATGGAGTCCCGCCAGCAATACTTTTTTACTTACTCATACAGGAAAGCCACCTTGCCTTACAGTGACAATGCAGAAGACAAAAGCTTTTTTTGAAGTGAGAAATTGTTGCTAAGAATGACCCAGGGGTATGACAAAGGTACAAGAAGTATTTTTAAAGGTCAATCTTATGCTGTATGACTAGTTTTCTCTTGGCAAAAATTTTTAAGCCCTTTCCTCTATTAATTTTAACATCCCATCAGATGTATATAGTTAAGGAGCTCTGGTGGCTTAGTGGGCTATGCGTTCGGCTGCTAACCACAAGGCCAACAGTTCAAAACCGCCAGCCACTCCTCCAGAGAAAGACGAGGCTTTCTACTCTCATAGTTACAGTCTCAGCAACTCACAAGGACAATTCTGCTCTCCTGTGCAGGGTTGTGATTAGCCGGACACTACTCAATTGCAGTGAGTTCTTTTGCGTTTACAGACACAAACATGATAAATGTTATTTATTTCTCTGGTTTTGCCTTTGGTGTTAAAGGCTGTTAATCCTACCAACATCAATTTTCTACCTTAATAAAACGCAAACATTTCCTTGATACATAAAGCATATATATTTTATCAAACATACATATTTTTACAACTATAGACCTAGTGCGGTCATAATCATATTAGTTACAACATTTACCACAGCAGTGAACTTCTGTGTTCCCTCACAGGCAAATGGAAAACCAGAAGGCAGGTGACCAAAAACTCATATATAAAGCAACTTAGTAAACACTAATGTCACCTGAGGACAAAGGGACATTCATTTAAACATGTTAATTGATGGACACTACCTAATATGTATAAGTAAGGAGTAAAAAGTATATTGCAATTATGATTGCTGACCAATTTTTTTTATATTGTCTGTCTACTTAAAGATTGTCCAGATCCAAGGATGATTAGTTAATTTATTAATGGTCCTGGGTTTTAATGCTAATTTAGTCTCTTGGAATCACGGTCTCATCTGACAAAATGAAGCCTTCTGATCATAACTTCAATTTTATAGATATCATTTACATAATTTAATTTAGTTGAAACCATACTTTTAAAATTTTATTTTTCAAAATATAGTGTAAATGATGTTTGCTTATAAAACAGACCAGTAAAACCAACAGAAGGAATTTAAGGAGGTTAGATTAATTAGGATTCTTTCTTTAAGTTTTTTTAAAATTTTATCTTATTTTTTTTAATTAGACTTTTCATGAGAAATAATGCAAGTTTAGCACAAATGAAAACCAGTTTTACATTATGAAAAAATCATGGAGATGACTTCTAATAGTTTTTAAGCCAAAATCATTAAATCAATCTGTTTCATTTGAATCATTTTATTAGGAACATTGAATTTTTCCTGATAACAACTGTATAATACAAATGAAAGCTCTTTAATACTGAAGTTACTCTACTGTCCTTCCTTTCTTTTGAATTCCTTTGTCTCTTAAAACAGGAAACAAAGGCTATTATTTTAATGTATAGCTAGACGATTTTCCTTGAGCGGTATCTTTCTCAAGAAAAAATGTCCTTAAACAAGTAGCATTTAAATCCTAAAGAATACATGTTCTAGTATTTTTCTTTTTTTTT